TCTCTTGGTTTCGTGGGTATCTCCGGATAAAAATGTCAGTGACGACTACAACGGGTGGGCAATTATTGAAACCCCCATTGAAAAGAAGAAGAAAGGTTCGGTCTTTGGACTTTGTATGAGCACCTAGGATACTTGTTCAATGTAACTAATGTGAATTATATGTTTTTTTTTCCTGGAAAGAGCTATACTAGTGAGTTGGGTTTGTGCAGGTTTGCCTACATTTGTGTTGGTGGGTTTTGGGACTTCCATTGCTGCTTTACTTGGTGTCATTGCTCATTTTTCACTATCAAGAAAAGGTCAATTACTTGAGAATTTAGTTATTGAGTGTGTTATTTTCTGAGTTTTTGGATTGTTAATTGTGCGGATAAGTAGTGGGGTTTTTTTGTATCAATTGGATGCAGTTATGTTAAGCAAAAGTATAACGAATTTTTGTTTTTCAGGTGTAGGGTTTTTGTTTAGGAGTCCATTGCACTCTTTGCATGGGATTTTAAGGCCATCTGGAAGAGATAAAGGTATTGAAAGTGGAACTGTTGAATCTGAAGCATCACTTGGAGATAAAATGGTTTCTGAAGAAAGTGTGGAGACAATGTTTGATGCGGTTAACGATACCATGGCATCAGGTATCATCACATTGATCAATTTCGGATTGTAGTCCCATTTTTGGAATGTTACAGTAAATTTATGCTTATCCTATCTGGTCACGTAATTTAATATTGTATTTTGGAGGGTACTCGGCATAACTGCTAAGAATTTAAGTAAAATTGGTATTTTTTGAACTCTGGAAATGATCATAATCTATTCATAGAAATAAGATAGGAATTCAATCAAGTTTGATAGGAAATGCAAGCATAATGTAAAACACACAAGGGACTAGCGTAGTTCAATTCTATGGATTGCCCATCCTTCCTCATAGTCCTCCTTTACCTCCTAAAGTAATTAACTGAAATTCAATTTTGTTGTCAACATATGAATTACTAGAGTTGTCTTCTTGTTTTATATAAGTTGCATGTCATATAAATTGAATTGCTTAAATGCAACTTTTATAATTGGTCTTAGTTGATAATATGTCTGAAGCTGATTTGTTTGCCAACCTTTTTCATTTGAAGAGAATTGAGTTTTGTAGAAATTTTAGTTATTGGAGCACTTGCAAACTAGATTTCGACTTTTTTCGGTAAATAACACGGTTCAACTTATTTTGTGAATTTTGAGGAATATTGTTCTAAGTTTTGAACTATAAATACACAACTTAAAAGTGATCTTCCAAGTGCTCTGGGTGATGCTCTTTCGGAAGTTATTGAGAACGTCGGGATGTTATGAAGTAAATTATGTGATGCAGCAGGGGTGCGTTAAGCAAGGGAATTAGGGGTGTTGTTCAATTGGAAAATGGTGCACGAGGCCTTTAAGTTATAGGTTTGCAATTTGGAAGGTGTAGTTAGGGTTTATGTTGGGCCTAGGCTTGTTTTGATTGTGGTTTAAGGATGATTTTGGTGTGAGGGAGATGATCGGAGGTAGGAGGATTTCTATGCAACATGTTGAGAATCAAGGATTGAAGGCTAGAAAGTTGGGTAGTAAGGGCTAGGGTTGTATGATTAATGACTTAGTTTTTGTCTAAGAATTGTCTGGTAGAAAAGATGATTATGTCTATTAGTCACCATTGCTGTAATTAAATAAACGAGGAAAAAGAAGACAGTAAATCTTGGAGTCTTACTAAGGCCTGCCAAGACAGTAACAAATCTTGGGCTCTCACCTAGAATAATTTTAATGGAATCTTACCATTAGAGAGAGCAAAATTCTTCAGGAAATTTTGTTAATCAATACATACATTCAATTGTCTCTGTATTAACATACCTGTGTGGTAGCATGTTACATTATAAAACTTTCTACTGTCTTTTTAGGTCTTTTGAAAGAGAAGAGAACGAATAATTATAGCATTACTCATGCCCCTCCCTCTATGGAACACAGACAGAATCTCCAAGGAGAGAGGGCAGGCCTGTCAGCTCTAATTCACCTGGGGGGGTTTCAACCGCATAATTTGGAAACTCCTACTAGACATTGCACTTTCTAATTAATTCAGACTTAACTAATTTTGACCAAGAAAAGGGCTAAACACAATCCACAACAAAACACTCCATTAACCTGGCCACCAAATCCCTAGAGTACAGTTAATGTTATTTTATGCAAACACCCTAGTTTCAAAATTTTGATTGTCTGGCTCAAAAGGAATTTGAATCATGTGACAGTGGCTTTTGTCCCATTGGTCCATTGGTAGGACCCATCCTGACCAAACATAGGCAGTAAGGGGTTGATCTCTATCATTATATCATTTGAGAAAATAAAGTGTCAATTTGTGCATCTTTGGGTTTCTTACTTATAATATTTTCAGCTTAGTTGTTAGTGTTTTCCATCTGTGGAACTTTTTTTTCGTTGATACAGTTGTGGTGATGGTGCCTAGCTCTCATGCACGATCTATAACTGACACAGATCATTTTTATCTTTATCTTTTTGATTTTGCTTTATCAAGAGACAAACCATAGTACGGGAGGAGAAAGAAAGCTTGGACGTATTATAATTCCAGCTGCTGTGGATTCTATTCAACAGGAAGCTATAGTGATGTTGAAGAAACTCGAGGTATGGTTTTAGAAGCATATGTCACACCACAGAGATTAATTTTTCTTGTTGATACAGTGCCTGTTCCCATAAGTAGTTGGTTCCATGCTCATCATTCTTGTTGCCCTAACAAGACTTAGATGGCATACATTATCATCAATAAAGAATCAGAAGACTAGTGAAGGGTGTTGGGAAAAAGAGAAAAAAGGGGGGGGGGTATTTTATTTAACTAAAATAAACATAAGTAATGACTTGAATTGATCCTTCCATTTGCTATACAACCTGCAAATTGTGCTCCATGCAATTTCCGTAATTGCGCTTTTTTCCTCTTCCCATGATCCACATTCAACAGAATCCTTTTTGTTCATGTCAATATCGTCATCCAACTTTTGATGTAGTGTCTATTCATCTAGTAAATAACGGTACTTAAATTGCACATGGAATAACTAACCCGAAAAATGTGCTCCTACTTTTTCCATTCACACAAGCACACACCCACACACACACACACACACTTCCTCCCCCCTCCAAAAAAAAAGAAAAAAGAAAAACGAAATAGGTAAAAAAAAACTCCAGGATCAAGGTCTACTCATCATCTGTGATTAATTTGTACATCTGTAATGAAGTAGTAGTTGTGTTGAATGTTGCTTTGGTTTCAGTTCTAAGCATGGTTTTCACTATTGGAATTAAGGTATACAGATCATTGAAGATGATATCAAGGCAGATGAATTGTGTACTAGGAGGGAATATGCAAGATGGTTAGTTCGGGCAAATTCACAACTGGAAAGGTTTTAATTTATCCCTGCTGGTGGTTTGGAAGTCTTAATAAGTGAAAAAATGAATGTACGGTATGCTACTTTATGATCTTCCTCAGAAATTTTTTATATTGGTTGCAGAAATCCAAAGCATCGGATAGCTCCATCTGTGGTACTTGCTGGGTCAACAATTACTGCTTTTGACGACGTGAATGTTGAAGACCCTGATTTTGGTTCCATTCAATGTGAGATTTGATCCCAATGTTCGCCTGTTATTTTAAGGGTGGCTTTGAGGAAAGAACGGATGTTTTATATTTTGCCTCAATTTTATATTTCAGCGCTGGCTGAAGCTGGCATTGTTCGTAGCAAGCTCTTAAATGAGTACTTTGGTCTGGATGACTTAAGAGGCCAAGAAGATGCCAATTTTTTTCCTGAGAGGTACTTGTTAGTTGTTAGAATGCTACTGAGTTTTTTAATTTCTCAATAATTTCCTCTTTTAAGTTATTTATCAAGTGCAAAAAGAATATAACTTCCTTTCACTTGGTGAGACACATTTGCTGTTGCAGATTTCTTTCTCGTCAGGATCTGATAAAGTGGAAAGCCAAGCTGGAATATGAATCATATGATGTCCTGCCTGGAATAAATGAAGAGGTAGGAGAAACTTTTAACTTTGCGTTGTTTGTTTATTTTCACAAAGAAAAGAGAGAAAAACAAAGAGACAAATGAGTGATGCTTCAAAGAGACAAATGAGTGATACTTCATTATTCTTTCTATTGCGTTGTTATTGTCTGATTTGTTTACAGTCCAGATATTTAGGAACAACGTGGGTTTTATGGACATGAGGGAGATCAGTTCAGAAGCGTCAGAGGAACTTTTTGTGGACATGCTGGCAGGCAACAAGAGCATACTCAGAAAAGTTTTTGGTCTCTCTCTCTCTCTCAAACACACACACACATGCGTGCGTTGTTTGAGAGAGAGAGAGAGATAGAGAGAGGCACGATTCACCCATCTGCCCACTCCCATGTGCATACAAACTTGTGGCCACACAAACACATGCGCATACATCTTATTGCATTACTGATCTGCAATCAGTGCCTAGTGGCATGTTTGTCTCGAACTACTTGTTTGAACGTACCAATTTGTTGAGTTAACCTGGTAGTATTTGGAAGCACAATTGGCTCGCTTTTAAGGCGATTAGGATAGGTTTTAATGAGTTTATTGAATAAGGCGCATATGGTATGTGCACTTCATGCCATCCCATAGGAAATAACACCTGCTGTATTTCATTTTACAGGACAGGCAAAGCGATTTCAACCTAATAAACCTTCCACGAAGGCGCAAGCAGCAGTGGCGCTGACAAGTGGGAGAATGAAGGAAGCAATTCATGCTGAACTATCAAGATTAGAAGCTGAGAATTCTTTAAGGAAAACTGTTATGGATGAAATTCACACTGAACTTCTAGCGAGAGGAGACATTCAAAGTTATTGGGACAAAAAGATGGAAGAAGAAAAAGGCCGTGGTTTGGAGGTGGAGGGGGCTTATAATGCAGCAGTGCACGATCTTGAAGAGGAGAAGATAGTTCAAGAGAGTACTCTATCTGAATTTCTGAAGAAAAAGGCAGCCATTGACTGTCAGAAGCAGCTGCTTTCTAGCCTTGAGGAAGAAGTCAATGAGATGTCAGAGAGATTTGCATACGAGAGAGCTAAACATTTGGATGAGCAGCACAATTTGCAGGGTATACTGAGTGATTTGCAGGTGAAGCACGAAGGGATGCTTGATGTAAAGTCGATACTGGAAGCTGAAAAAGAAGCTCTTCGAATACTCAGGTAATGATTGGAATTGCATCTTTTTCCTGGGTTTGTTTCTCTTTCCTTTTGTCTTTTATGGAAAAAGAAATTAACGTACTATTCCCCTTTGTACCTTTGAAACTAAGACTGCTAGGTTCTGGGTTACTGGAGATGTGCTGAAAGTTAAAAAAAAAATTGTTTAAGATGTAGGGATGATGTAGCAGTAGCCTATTTTGAGCATTCATGCCCTGTTTCTGAAAAATGAACTTGCCTTAATGTATCCAAGTGGTTGTGTGACAGTGTGAGTGATACTTGGGTTTGCTTAGTGAAGTAAAACTGTGTTTGTTGGCCCATGAATCACAATTGATTTTACCAGTTGAGAGTGAGCCTCAATTTGACTTTGGGACAAGGCAATGTGGATGTTATACTTTATTATTACTAAAATTAGTTGTAAGATGGAATAAAACGTTTGATATTTCAGTCTCTCTGTCTGGGACATAGTTTTCAATAATTGAGTCTGTCGGTGCAGATCTTGGATCGAGGATGAAGCAAGGAAAAGCCAAGCCCGTGCTAAGGTTCTTGAGGAGGTGGGACGAAGGTGGAAATGGTAGAAGTAATCTTAAGGCCCCTATGAAAGTAGAGATCGTTTAATAAGGTGCTTAAAGACAAACCTTGCTCGGGGTAACATCTGAGATCCTTAACCGATTCTTGTGTAAACTAGATGTTTTGTAGATTTTGCTGCGGATGTCCTGATGTCCTTTTTTTTTTTTTTTTCCTCTCAATTTTCTATCATTTCTTCTTCTTCTTCTTCTTTTTTTTTTTTCATTTTCTTGTCCAAAGTTTAGATTGTTTCTGAGATCCTTTTTTGCACCTTCCTGTGTACTTAAGTAGGCAGCCCAACCATGTATGCGGAATAAATTTCATTTAAGCAAATAAAACTGTAAAATTTCTATCGACCTGAATATATGACACATGCTTGAATGTTTTTCTAGATTTTGTGGCAAATTATCATAACTTATTGTTTCTTCATCTTGTTTATTGCCAATCTTTCTCAGGTGTCCAGAAGCCATAACTCATAGGAATGGACAGTGTACTGGAGCTCCCTCCCTATGTATTTAAAGGCACTATTGATTTCCTGTTGTAAGGTGTTTGAGGCTCCTGAGGATTTGGAACTTCATATTTCTTTCCATTTTTCTTGAGAAATGAGTGGAAAACTTTCACCCTCCATTTTGGGTGGAGTGATGTAAAAGGAAAATGCTTATAAAGTATACTCAAAATCGGTTTCAGAGTTCGACAGAATAGTCGGCACAAGTTTAAACATTTCGTAGCAAAAAAAAAATGGGAATCAATAGTACTAAAGAGTCATTAATGACAATTTTCAAAATTAAATAAAATTTTTTGAATTCTAAAGATTTTGTGACTTCAATTCTTACCTTCAAATATATATATATATATATATTAAACAGTAACACGTTCAATATAAAAAATAGTAAACATTAAACAATGACACGTTCAAAAAAAAAATAGTAACACATTCAACAAAAAAAATTGTAACATGTTCAACAAAAAAAATAATAACATTCTAAATAAAAAAATAGTAGCATCCAACAGTAATACGTTTAACAAAAATTTAAACATTGTAATAGAGTGACACCCCCATAACAGAATAAATATTCACATATTATGTCACTCTATTGCAATGATTAAATTTAAATTAAGTTTTTTATTGAATATGTTACTGTTTGATGTTACTATTTTTTTATTGAGTGTGTTATTGTTTGATGTGACTATTTTTTTGTTGAGCGTGTTATTGTTTGATATTACTATTTTTTTGTTAAGCGTGTTACTGTTTAATATTACTATATATATATGTGTGTGTGTGTGTGTACGCGTGTGTGTATATATATATATTTATATGTGCGTGTGCGTATATATATATATATATATATTTTTAAAATTCAAATGAAACATAAATATAAATTTTTTTTTTGAAAATCTCACATTCTAATATTTAGATATTAAAAATATAAAAATTATCAATTAGGTATACACTATTTATGGTAGGGGTAATTATGAAATACTTTTTAAAAAGAATTTAAAAATGTGTACTTATTGATAATTATTTGATAAAAAATAAGATTTAAAGGAAGATAAATTTAGAGATGATACTTAAAATCAAATAAATTCTGTAAAAAGTACTCATGTCCCATTATCTCAATTGAAAATTGAGTTCAACTTGAACCCGAATTCAATATGAACTTTTCAACCTGAAAAATGGACCTTGTTTAAATTGTTGAATTTGATTCTTGAATTATACAATTCAAGGTGAAGCCTGTTTTAAATTGGGGTTCAATGCAAGTTTGACCCGAATTCACTCTCGATGGGGCTGGAATATTTTTAATTTTTTATCCTACCCAATCAGCATATTAAAAATATATGTTAAAATATTAAATATCTTGAATTAGCTTCGAGTTAAATTCGAATGGACCATACTAATTTTTTTTTATTTTACTTGGACCTAATTTATTGATTTAATTTGTTATTTAATCAATCACTATTATTATATTGATAGTGAATCTCAATACTAATTGGAATTCGCTACCATATTTGTAAATTATAAATAGTATTATTTATTTAATATTATAATTAAGAAGTTGAATTTTAAATTTATAAAAGCATAAAAACAGACAAGATTGATCTAATGGTACAAAAATTATTAAAAAATAAATTCTTTAAGGTTAAGTTATAACTATTTTAAGGTGTAAGTTATAATTTCAAAAAACATGATCATCGTGAAAGATTGAGATCAATATCGTATTTTTCATAATTGATCATAGGTGTCTCTGGTCTATCATAATCTCTTTTAAAGAGTTATAACTTTTTCGTTCAAAATAGTAACTTTATCATACAAAGTAGAAACAGATGGTATCATTACCAAATTTTTTTTTCGGTGCCGTAAATTTTTTTTAATTTTAAATTATGTAATTACAACATTAAATTATTATTTAAAATATATACATAACAAAATTAGTTCGATTTTTTATATTGTACAGTCTCTTCGGTTATTGCTATTGTTTTATAGGAAAATACAGCCTTCAAAAGATATTCCCGCCGAAGCAAATTGGCGCTTCCATCTCTTGTTATTTCACAGTTGAGACGCACCTTTCTCTTCATCTCCCTGACATACTGTTCGAATCTTGAGGTGCCGATTCCAAGCTTGAATCGCAGTTAAAGTTAGTCCTCAGCTTCCCACTTACGCAATTCCCTCAAAGAACTTTCGCCTCTTTCTCTAATCTCAGCCAGGTATGGTCCCACCATGCTTGCATTTGTGTCTGTGTCGTATATATTTGAGTTTTAATGAACTTTTCATGATCTTGATTGATGATTATCGTGCGATGGGGGAAAAACCCAGGGAACTCGAATCAAAATCAGTCATCTCTTCTTCTAACAAGAGAGGCTACTGCAGTCTCTCTTGTGAGATTTACCAATATTACTTTTGTGTATCTAAACCCACATTATTCATTGCTCCTTAAATTATTCTAGGAAGTCTTTTTCTTTAAATTAGCTTGTTGTGCGGGCTTGATCCTGCACGATATATATAAATATTGGGAACAGATCTCTCCCCTGGTGAGATTTGGGTGAGCCGGTTGAGTGGCCAGCACACTGCTCGAAACAGCTTACGATCCTGGGAAAGGAGGAACGATCCTGTACGTGCGAAAGGTATTTCCTGGAACAAAAGAGAACAGGTTAGAAGGGCGCCGGAGTGTTTTCCGGCGTATCCCCTCCGACGATCTAGTCAGTCTTTGAATGAGAGAGAGGAAGGAGAAAACACTGAGAAGGATATTTCGTAGTAGAGAGTTTGTGATTGCATACATTTGCCTTTTTGGGAGGGGTATTTATACCTTAGAAGCTCATGATTGCTGTCAGTGTGGTCAGTAGGTGATCATCAGGCACTGGCAGCGTGTGTATTGGTTTGATGAGGAATGTCTTCTCTAATTGACTGCTCGGGGTCCCGAGCAATAATGTTGAGTGGTCGGGACGCCGACGGTACAATATGCTCCTTTCGGGAAGGATGCAATAAATGCTCTGTAATAGGAGCATTTATTGCCTTTCATATCCGAACCTTACCGCATTAAATGCGGTCTCGTCAACAGAAGGGTGCAATTAATTGTTTGCTTCCCAAAGCGCATGTCAGCAATAGCGTGCGGTTTGCCTGTTTTTGATGTGACATTATTTGCCACGCGTCCATCACTTATTGGCTAAGACTTCGGTGTTCCAGCATGTTCTGACATTACTTGTGTAAGACGAGGTCATGATGAATAGTCCAGACTGGCATAGGCTGATGTCCAGTTTTGTCAGTAGCTTTATCCGGGAGTAGAGGAAGCGTCCAGGATGGAGTGACCCTCGGTGCCGAGGAAAGGCTCACCTCGGGGGACAAGGGTGGTGTGTTCCCGAGGTACATGGTGACCGAGGACACATGTCTTTGTATACTGTACCGAATATGTGATCCTATATGAGAGGTACCTCGGGGAGAGGAGCTTTTGCCGATGGTGCTCGAACCCGAGCAACATTGTTCTAAAATCCCCCGAGGACACGTGTCTTCATCATAGGCTTTTTCAGAAGAGTCCCATCAACTGCCCCCCAGCCTTCGATCTTCTGACCCGAGGACACGCGTTGTCAGGAGACGAAGGGTTTTCCAACTGCCATCCGTCCTTCATTATGGCCTCGAGCAGCTTTCCCCGTCTTGGGATGTCGTGCGCATTAAATGCGCCGTTTTGGTTCTCCCGCCCAATGATGACAGTTTCCCCCCTATATAAAGGGGGTTCTTCTCCGGTTTCCTTTGTTTTGCCATTCCGATCTCTGACCCAGAATACGCTTTTTTCGATCTGCTTCGCCGGAGTTTCTGTTTCCTCAGCCACTTTCGACAGCATCTTCTCTTTAAAATCACAGTCAGTAAACCCATTGTTGACTCCTGGTCCTTCCGGTGCGAGTCGTTTTCAAAGTTTTTCCTGAAAAACTCCGTTTCCGACGTCTTCTGGTGAGTTTCACAACCTTCTTCTTTATCGTCCTCCTGGCCTTCTTGTTTTCCGATTTGAACGGTGGTGTCATCCGGTCGGTACGTCTTGATTTAAACCCTCGGGGAACTTCCTCAGGTTTTCAAGTGAACATCTTTTCCTTCTTCTTTTAGAGATGCCTCGTCGTCGCCCTGTTCCCGAGAATCCATCGGCTGGTCCCTCGGGGTCAGGGAAATACAAGGTGACGGGCGAGGCGCAGATTGATAGGTTCAGGGCGAAGTATGGCATCCCCCCGAGCGTGGACGTAGTGGGTTTTAACCCTTTGTTGTACTCTCCTACCTTCGGGGCCACGGATGCCATGCCTTTCTATACCAAGGCCATCATAGAGGGTGGCATTAGGTTTCCTTTACCCCCCCTGCTTCTTCAGTTCCTGTCTCGCTTCCGTCTCTTCCCCGGGCAATGCTGCCTCAACGTCTTTCGGATAATTATGGGGGTCCTAGAGCTCAATAGGCGCCTCGGGGTGAATATTGGGCTCAACGACCTCCTTTTCTGTTACTCTCTCCTAAGAGTCATGCCCCACCAACATTTCTACCTCA